TCCAGGCTGTGAATATCTCTCAGCCACTTCAACGTATTTCTTGTAAAAAAATGCCGACCGTTTTTCATTTCGACATAAACCTCCCGAAAAAAATAAACTCCCCAAGAGCAACCATGGGGTTCCCTGTAAAACATCAACTTTCAGAATTCCATAGATTATCACGAAGTCACACTATAGTTGCCTTAGTAGCTTGCCTCCGTACATGCGGACGGAGACACGGCGTTCCTCCGTTCTAGTGCACGAAGGCACGCTCTCATTGCCTTAACAGCATGCCTCTGTGCACGCCGACGGAGGCACGACGTGCCTCCGTTCTCGTGTACGGAGGCATGGTACTGGTGCACGTAATAGCATGCCTCTGTGCATGCGGATGGAGGCACGACGTGCCTCCGTTCTCGTGTACGGAGGTATGGTGCTGGTGCACGGCACCAGCGTGCCTCCGTTCTCGTGCACGGAGGCACAGCGTACCTCTGCACACGTGCAACAAGAGCATAGCTTTTACAAACGTAGACGCAATTTAAAAATACAGCGCAACCTAAAATATAGCAACTTAAAAAATACAGAAATATAACAACGCTATAACCCATGAACCATTTTCTGGTTTTATTATCTGAAGCATCAAAATTAAGAAGATAATTTAGGTTTGTTGAATCAAGTCTATTTAGGTTAATGAAACAGACAGCTCTGAAGCCGGCTATGAGAAAAAAACATAAACTGAATCCGAAAGACAGAAAATAGACAAACGTTAAGAATTAATGAAACAGACAGCTCTTAAGCCAACCTCTACGAGGAAAAAGCATAAACTGAATTGAAAGAAAGAAAATAGACAAACCTCAAGAATTAATGAAAGAGAGAGCTCTAAAGCCGACAAAGTAGGGAAAAGAAAATATCGCAGGTTGTAGCTTCAATTAAAAGTAGGAAATGAAAAGAAAAACAAGAAGAAAATATATATGATTGGAAGATACGGCGTCGTTATGGTTGACGATGTAATTTTAGGACATCTGGCACAAACAGTGATTTCACACTGCCTCTTTTATTTTGTTTAGGACATAATAAGCAATAGTGTTTAGTAGATCATTTTTTTATTTCATTAACTTGACTTTAAAATCGTTTGGCATGGCTTCGGCTTATTGTATAAGAACTTTTTAAGGATGCTACTTTATATCAACTTCTTTTAAAAACTCTTTTATTTAGACAAAGCAATTTTAGAAAATTATCCAGACACATTCAAAAATATTTTCTTAGTCTCAGAATATTACTGTGATGGAGTCATGAAAATTACTGTTGACGGTCATATTTCTCGTTATTTTAATATTTTGATTGTTAATATAATCATTTTACAATCACTTCTTTCGTTTTTGAAAAGAAATGTAACTAAATTTTAGTTACTTCAATGATATTTTATCAACAAAAATAATTATTACGACGACAAATCAAGCAGTTGTTGAAATAAAATTAATTGGTTGTCTATATTAATTTTTAACGACTATTTCTTCCCCTGTTGAAATGAAAAGCAACTAAAATTTGGTTGTCTTCATTGTATTTTAACGATAAAAATAGTTATTACAACAACCAAACAATTGATTGTTGAAAAAAAAAATTGGTTGTTAACACAAACCTTTTACGACAAGTTATTTAGTTAAAATAATACATTTTAACCATCAAACATATTTTTAGTCATTGAATACATCTGCTAACACCTCTTTGCCAATCAACAAATAACCAACTGATTTTCGTCGCTGAAAGTGATCAACAACTAATAATGTATATTATTTATATGGTTGTTGAAAGTGATATTTCATGTAGTGCCTTTGTAACGTAATAAAATTACCATTCACCTTATTTTGTTAACTAACTTTAAGTACCTCAATTAACTAAGCCCATGTTGGTTTAACTAAAAAATAGATAATAAATTTTGATAAAAGTTGATAAAATGTATAGTTGAAAAAATTTAAAGTTGTGAGTATGATAAAATGTATACTTGAAAATTGATTTTGAAATTGGAGCTGATTAGGGTCGTTGAAAGAAAAAATAATTGACCATGGTAGAGAGAAAATTGAAAGATATTTAAGTATAATCTTGCTTCAATATCCCATTCTAGAAAATGTGATATTTTCTTAAAAATATTAATAGCTCTATACTTCTATTGATGGGACAACATACGTA